AGAGAGAGAGAGAGAGAGAGAGAACACAAAAGGAACAATAAGAAACCGAGAGCGTACAACAATCTAGTGAAGAGAAAAAACAACAACAGCAATTAGACGACAGAAAAAAAACCCAATGTGAGAAAGACAAACATCCGAAGCGATCCGCAGCTGTCATTGGCCACTGCACGATCCTCCCCGCTCATGTTCTCACTTCTGTTTTCCCACCCAAATATTTGTTTGTAACGAACAGTAATTCGCTGGATCATAAACGTGCAGTCTTTTCTCTGTCATATCACAAAGGTAACAAAAAAGACAAACACGAACTATTCCTAGCGGGAAACTCTTCCCTGGTTCAGCTCCCGGGAACAACAACAACTGACCAATATTTGTTCAGTTTGTTTGAGCAACCTGTATTGCGTCATTTTGAACAACAAACCATCATCATTACCCAACCCGTTAATTAAAAAAAGAAAGAAGAAAATAAGAATACAGATTTAAAAAATAATAGTAAAAACATGAATTAACGATTGAATGAATGAATGAATGAATGAATGAATGAATGAATGAATAAATAAGTAAATACATAAATAAATAAATAAATAAACCTTTACCGACATCTCCCTCACCCCTTCCATGTACTAGGAACGCTCGTTCCTCTCTAGACAAAAACCAACGTTGCTGTGAAGGATGCGAACTATGGTCGTGAAAATACAAGACGAAACAACAAAGTCTCGCTATAGTCGAGTGCGCGCGCAACCTTACCCCCTTGCCCTTCATTTAGAAATCTAGATCCAAATTGAGTCAAATGGTGAGGTCCATGATGAACTGCAATTACGAGTGGCATTAGACAAAACACTCGAGTGGGAAGAGACGTGCTTGCCGGGAGGTAGAAGCTGGGGAGTTTGTCCAAAGACTATCTCTGGACTAAGCCGATTAGTTTGGCGTACAGTGTAAGTTAGTTGTGTGGACGTTAACTGGTAGGACGATTGTACCCTCATGTGTCCGTGATTGATGATGTTGGGAATTTCCGTCTGTGTCATTTACTGCGGTAGAGTTGTTCCTTTACGATAAGATAAGATAGGATACGATAAGATTCAATAAGATAAGATAAGATACGATAAGATAAGATCAGATACGACAAGATAGATCAAATACGATAAGATAAGATAAGATAAGATAAGATAAGATAATACTTCATTATCCCAGAGGGACATTTTTCTTGGCTGTACCTGACCGTAAAAACACATGCATGTATACATGAAAATTTAAAATATATTATTACCATAATTAAAATTCAATATGAAAAGAGAAGTCAAGCTGACAAAGTACATATCAGTTGCATCATTCAACCACATGCTGAAATGCAATTACAAGACCTTTAGAGCTATATATAGATACATACTCGAAAGAGCAATACACATTGGTGATTATTCTGACAATTTCCTTATGCTAGATGGTAAAAAACTTCTTTTATATTTTTCTTTCTTGTTTTTGGAGGTACATATCTGCCGCTGCGTGATCTTACAATTAGCGTGGAAAGGGGGTGCAATGGGTTGTTTATAATGCTTTTTATCTTTGTTATACTTGTGGTGTTATACATTTCATCAATTTTAGTAAAATCATATCCAGAGATCTTGCTGGCTTTTTTAATGGCTCTGTAAAATTTTTCTATTTTTCACCCTACAATTCCCACCCCAGCAGCAAAATATACCAAAATAATAGCACGCTTTCAATCATAGACTGGTATAAAAGGGACATAATCTTATTATTGGCACGAAAACTTCTTTATTTCCTTAAAAGGAACATTCTTTGATTTACCTTTTTATGCACAAGAGCAGCGTGGGGATGCCAGTCAAACTTTACTGCTGTACTGTTGTTCATTTACTGCGAGACTGCTGTACAGTCGTTCTTGCTGTTGATGGTGCTTCCGTTTCAGAAAACGTAAATAAATGTAATGCCAAGAAGAAACGATTTTAAAAAAAGGAGAATAACGAACAAAAGGAACACGAAACAATACGAAACAAAAATAGAAAACGAGCAAACAACCTCCTGTAACCCATTAATTAAAAAGGAGCAAGGAAAAATTCCAAAACAAAAAAAAGGAAAAAACCAAAACTAAAACTCAATAAAAACTACTACAAATCAATACAAAACAATGCCACCTCACTTTGGTATTTAAAATAGAAAACGAAGCAAACAACCTCCCGTAACCCATTAAAAAACAGTAAGGAAAAATTCCAAACACACACACAAAAAAGAGAAAAACCAAACAAACTAGAACTCAATAAAGCTACTACAAAACAAGACAAAACAATGCCACCTCGCTTCGTTATTAAAAATAGAATTAGATCACATCAAACCGCAGGTATGTGCAGAAAGTACGATCGACCAAGTACTCACAGTAGTACAGGCTAGAGTAGTGGGGGGTATTGTAGGCCGGGCTGGCTGATTGCTTCATTCTTTGTCCTGTTTGGTTGGGGTATCGTGACAATCCTTGCTGTCTGTTCATGCGTGTGTGTGTGTGTGTGTGTGTGTGTG